CCCAGCCCGGGGGTCCTGGGGGGGTGCCTGCCTGCACCCCCTTGCTACAACCCCTCTTAGGGTGCACTTTCCCCTTGCCAAGTCCCCCCCCCCAAATTGAAAGCCAGCCTCAGCTGGGGGAATTGCAGTAGAAAAGGGGCGAGGGGAGGGGAAAGGTGTTTGCAAAGGGCTGCGCATCCCAGAGCCGCTCTCCCAAGCCCCCCTTTTTCCCGGGGATGCTTTTCCAGGCTTTCCCAAGGAAGGGCCTTGACTGATGCTGAGTGGGTTGTCTCCACCCAGGACTCGGATAACTCCACCCGCCGTCTCCCAGTAGCTCCTCCTCCCTGTGCACAGCCCAGCTGGGATATAAGCAAGTCACTCAGACAACCAGGAGACAGCCGAGACAGCTGGGTGGGTGGCGTGGGACGCCGAGCCGTGACCTGTGCCGTGTCCTTCGCCTCGACGCCGGACCCCATGGCGACGCCTTCGCAGAAGAGGAGCACCCGTAGCGGGGCTTCGGGGACCCCCTTGTCCCCTACCCGTATCACTCGCTTGCAGGAGAAGGAGGATCTGCAAGAGCTCAATGACCGCTTGGCCGTCTATATCGACAAGGTGCGCTCGCTGGAGCTGGAGAACGCCGGCTTACGGCTCCGCATCACCGAATCGGAGGAGGTGGTGAGCCGTGAGGTCTCCGGCATCAAGGCTGCCTACGAGTCGGAGCTGGCGGATGCCCGCAAGACCTTGGATTCGGTGGCCAAGGAGAGAGCTCGGCTGCAGTTGGAGCTCAGCAAAGTCCGGGAGGAGCACAAGGAGCTGAAAGCCCGGTGAGTGCCCTGGGGACGCGGGGCGGGGGGGACCGTGACGGGACGGTCACTGTCGTCACGCTTGGCAGGGAGCCGGGAGGGAGGAAGGAGCGACTTGGAGGAGGCAGGGAGAGGGGAAACCCGTGACCCGACTGGGGCAGGAGTGTCCGTGGCAGGGACCGAAAGAGGAGGGAAGGTCTCCCGGCATTCCCGCTCTCCCTCCAAGCGCCATCTTTGGCCAGGATGCCCTTGGAGGGGGGATCTGGGAGCAGAACTGCGAAAGCTTGGGGCTGGGGCTGAGCGGCTGCGCCCCGGGCTCCTGGGGAGGGTCTGCGCGACGGCGGGGCAGGAGCCCTGGGCTGGCCCCTTCGTCTTCGTCATCTTGGAGCTATTCCTAAACGCGCCCGGGCGCAGACCGGGAAGCGGTGCCAGCCAGCTGGCTCTGTCCTGCCCACAGATCTCGCCTGCTCGTCCTATTTTCCTCTGCTGTCTTTGGCACCCGTTAAAGAACCTTCTCGGGTTTTGTTTGCCTTAACCCTCCCTGTGCCGAACTCTTCTCGCTCCTCGGGGTCCCCTGCTTTGGGCCAAGCAATGCTGAGGCAACGCCTGCATCCCTTTCCCATCGGTTGGCTCTGGGTGATGTGCTCCGGCTCTGCTTTGAGGTTCAAATCCCCCCCAGCCCCTTCCCATCACGTTTATATCTCTCCCTTCTCAACGCCAGCAACGTGCCCCTCATTGCCACCTCCCTGCTGCTGTTGGGTTCCTCCTCCCTCCCCTCCTTGGGACAGTGGCAAAGACCCAGCGCAGGTCCCCTGAGGACACGGGGACAGGGGTCCCCTGGCAGGGACCTCCCCGGGGCTCTGCCAGCCCCTGCGGCATCGGGACCGCAGCCCTGCCACGCTCAGCTCCCTGAGTCCCGTTTCACGGCAGGAGCAAACGTGTCCCTTTCCATCATCAGGAGCAGGAGCCGGGCTGGGCAGTGGCGAAACAACCCTCTCTTTTTTCCATTCGATCTTTTTACCTCTTATTCTGGACGCCTTGTTTTGAGTCCGTACCAAACGAGGCTAAAATTAACTTCCTCAGAAGACGCCATAAATATTCTACCTATTGGGAAGGGAGCGAATGTGCAGCCTTTTACAGCTGTCTTTGAAAGCCCTGTGGTGTTTTATATTTAGCTTTCTGTTTCCCGTGCGTTGCTGCGGCTCTGTCCTTAGATAAGGCGGCTTTGCTCGTCCCGCTTGCTGCAAGGCAGATCCCTGCTCGCCAGATCCCAAGGATCTGGGAGCTGACGAGATGAGGAGCTGAGCTGTCTAAAAAGCTTTTGCTGCCTTATCCAAACCCAGAACTATCTTGGCCGCGTTCTTTCGAGGGCTGGAAAAAAATGCCCGGCCTTCAGCCGTCGCTGGCTGAGAGCTGCGTGCTCAGCCTGGAGCTGGCTGTGCTGCAGAGCGGTCCCTGCAAAGAAAAAAATAAAAAAAAAAAATTACATTAAGCTTTCTCCTGCAACGGGCTGCGCTCCTGGAGCTTGCCGTGCTTGTTCCCGAACGCTGGCAGATCCCCCCTGAAAAAGTGGTTTGGCACAAGGGGATTCCCAAAGAGCAGCTCTTGGTTCGGAGGCGGGTTTCAGA